ATGAAAGTGCTTCCGTACAGGAACATGGAAACTGGGTTAACCCAGCTCCATGTTTCCCATGCATGGTGCCTTAGTTACCTTTCTATTGCTGTGATAAGACACTGTGACTTAAGGCAACTTACAGAAGAAAGAGTTTATTGGTGCTTACAGTTTCAGAGGGTGAGTCCATGACCATCCTGCCAGGAAGCATGGGCTGCCGACAGGCCAGCACAGTGTTACAGACCCCCAGACTTTAGTAGACCCTCAGACTTTAGTAGACCCCCAGACTTTAGCATACATGATGCCATATGGAAGTAACATTCAGGCCATGGACCCCACCACATAGCAGCAAAACCTGCCAAAAGGAGAACAAAGACCCAATCCATCCAAGTCCACAGCTCTGGGAAAGTCCCGAAATGTACTAATCTCGCCTTTCAGCTTCTGTAGTTCTGCTTCTGGCTGTGGTTCTTGCTAACTGAGGTGTGTTGTGCTTAGAAGCTCATCCCGGGAAAGGCTCGGGACTGCACTGGGGTCCCAAATACCAGTGTAGTCACCACCGGGCTGATAAAGACTTCCTGTTGGCTTGAACCCTGTCCAAGTGGTCTCCTCTGGTGGATACCTCACACAATGGCACTGTAACTGTAGCTGAGTGCTCACACAATCCACAGGCATAGTGCAGAGAGAGCCAGCAGAGAGTAGTGTGGGGTTTTGAAACCTCAACCTCCCCCTCCAGTGACACACCTCCTCCAACAAGGCCATAATTTCTAATCCTTCCCAAACAGTTCCACCAACTGAGGACCAGGTACTCAACATATGAGTCTATGGGGCTATTCTCATTCAAACCACCACACACGATCACACAAACTTGGCTCTGGAATAAACTATTTGTTATTCCTTTTAAAGTGCAAGCTGTAATTTTTGCATCAGTGAAAGCAAGCAAGTATACTGTGTGGGCCTGAGAGTCCTCTTATGCTGAAGCTACAAGACAAGATTGCTCCCTTTCTAGCGCCTGTCTCCATGTCCACTGGCTCACAGGCCAGGCCAGCTAGTCCACGTGATACTCCTGTAAGAGCCAGAAATTTTTGTTCTTCAGACTTGAAGGGAAGACATGCCTCTCTCTCCATTTCTCTCTCTCTCTCTCTCTCTCTCTCTCTCTCTCTCTCTCTCTCTCTCTCTCTCCCTCTCTCCTCCTCCCTCCAAACATCATTATGGCTGTGGTGCTATCTCTCTCCTAAACTCCTCTTAGGACCCGAAGGCTTGCTCTCCTCCTTCTTGGCCCCACCGCCTGATGAATATCTTGTTAAGGTAATTTATGTCAACTTTCTACAAACTTCCTTTTCTTTTCTTTTAAGTTATTAAGACTAAGAAGTTACAAAATCTTGGTTGTAAAGGGGGCATTCGGAGACTAACAAAGATGACCACAAACTTCCCATGTAGCTCTTTCAAGTGGAAACTGTTTCTCTCACACATGTCATACCAGAGCTTCCAGCTGGTGTGACTCCATGTGGCCCCCATAAAAGCAAAAATCTCAGCTCATTTTGAAGAACATAGCATTAGAATGTAAGTGCCAATGACCCCTTCCACAGGCTGTGGGCTACTGACTTCTGGATTGAATCCCCTCCTTTACTGGTTTTTAGTACCTGGCTTTTCACCCTCCCGGCTATCAGTACCTCTGTCCATTGTCCTGGGCGGTGGTGGCACATGCCTTTAATCCCAGCCAGGCAGATCTCTATAAATTCAAGGCCAGCCTAGTCTATGGAGTGAGATCCAGGACAGGCACCCAAACTACACAGAGTGAGTTCGAGGCCAGCCTGGGCTACCAAGTGAGTTCCAGGACAGGCGCAAAGCTACACAGAGAAACCCTGTCTTAAAAAACCAAAAAAAAAAAAAAAAAAAAAAAAGAAAAGAAAAGAAAAAGAAAAAAAAAAAACCCAGCTACCATTGATAACGCTGCCTTTGCAATTCATTGATCACCTCACTTCCAAAGATAATGACATTTCCTTTTCCTTTTGCTTCTTCTTCCTCTTTTAGATAGGGTATCATTTATCCCCCAGGCTGACCTTGAACTTCTGATCATCTTTCCTCTGCCCGCTGAGTGCTGGGATTATGGGTAATTACCACCGTGCTTGGTGCTTGTTTTAAATGGTGCTGAGGGTAGAACCCAGGACTACACACAGGCTGGGCAAACACTCCACCAACTGATTCAGCCCCAGAAAAAAACTTCTTCAGACACTTTTCCACCCCAGTTGAGCCATCCATGCCAGAGCCACCCCTCTAGAATGTGCATTTTAATCCTCTATCTTTTGAGTATCATCTCCTGTCTCTTCTCACTTGCTCCAGTACAACACTCCCTCCAACAGTTCTTAGTGCCCACAGAGACTTCCACCTCACTGCTCTCATATTTCCACGTCCCCTCTGCTCTGCTCTTGCCCCAGCCTAGCTTTCCCTTCACTGCTGACCTAGTTTCGAGTCTCTAGCCCACAGTTTTACGCAGACACACACTTTGTCACTTGCTCCATCCATTACATTATCTGGAAAAACTCGAATCCCAGTTAGTCATTCTACTTCCAGATGCATATAGCAGAAACGAGGCAAAAACACACCTCCATGAAAATCAGTGTATCTGGAACTTGTGCCAAAACATTTCAGGTGAGCTTTTGCTCCTTTGAGCAGACAATAGTAAATTTATATGGTATTATTTTCTGACAAACGGCTCTTACATGTTCTCCCTTCCTGACATCTTCCACCCAGTCTTTGTGATTAAATCTTTATGTTTCATTTACAAAAACACCTAATTTGGTAAGAATCACTTCATCTTTCCACTAGTCAATCTAATAACCTATATGTAACGGTAGCTGTGCATTACAGTTTTGCCAGTGTGAGACAGATCAAATGTCCATATTCTTGTGTATGTATGGTATATGTGTGTGCTGATCCTGTATGCTCACATACACATGTGCTAGCATGTTGGGGTCAAAGGGTTCTTGGAGGGAGGAGGGAGGAATTGAGAAATAATAATAAGAAATATAGACACAGATGGAGAGAAAGACAGAGACACAGGATAGCTTCAGGAGAGCCCTGGGTTAATACCCAGTCACCCAGAGTTTATTCATGATGGGCTTTTTATACATCAGAAAGGGGAGGGACAAAAGACCTCCCCCTTTTAAGGTTGAGGTATAAACCTTAATAAAGTACCAACAAGGGTAGACCCTTCAAAACTCCTGGTACCCACGCCTTTGGCCAAATCATCCTATTATGCAGCCCTGTGGGCAAAGCAAGCTCAGACTTTCTGACCCTGAGTAAGGCCTGACTAGGGAGCCTCTGTGGGCCCCCACACTAGCATACACATTTGCTTCCTTATTATTTGAGATACATCTTCTCGCTGAACCCTACCTAGACTGGCAGGCCATTAAGCTCCAGGGATCTGCCAGTGTCCTCTCCCCTCCTGCGTTCTCCAGTGCTCCAGGCTAGAGGCAGAAATGCACTCAGGCTTGCCTAAGTGAGAACTCACATCCTCATACACACACTCCACTGACTGAGCCAAGTCCCCAGACCTGAAATACCCACATCTTTAACCAAGACTAAGTCCTTCTCTTGCAAGCTGATTGCCATTTCCATCACTTCTCATCTACTTAGAGCTTTGACCCCCAAAGTCATCCCCCTCTGTCACCAAACAGTGTCTACTGTTTCTCATCCACAATCTCTCCCATCTCTCCAAATCTGTTTTCTTTGACCAAGTCCTCTAAGTTAGGACTCCACATGTTCTGTCTCATGGCTCACAGCCATGGAGCCTCCTTTCCTCACCTCTCACTCTCTCTAATACCTTTTCACTAGGATTTCAATGTATCACAGAGCAAAGCTCTTATTGGACTCCCCAGTCACCCCGAAGAAGGAAATCAAAGTTGCCAGTCCTCCCCGATGGTAGGTCTAGCATCGAGCTGGTGGTCACTTTCGTTGTCTTCTGTTGATTAATAGTCACAGGGAAAGGAAAGAACTTTCTAAAGCAAGCTCTTTGACAAGGCATTTAGCCATCATGTCTGCCCCTAGTGATTTGGTTTTGGTGATAGTGGTTGCTGATAAATGCTTATTAACCAAGGGAACAATGAGCCCGGCCTTCTGAGCTGACTCTTAACCAGTACTAGAGTGCCGAGAATCAACACTGGTAAGTTGGAAAACAAAGTTCCAAATGTTTTGCAGGCAATCAATGCTTATTGAATATCATGTACCAGACAGTAGAAATGCAGAGGTGACCAAAAGAGATACAAAGTCACCGGGTGGTGGTGGCACACGCCTTTAATCCCAGCACTCCGGAGGCAGAGCCAGGCAGATCTCTGTGAGTTCAAGGCCGGCCTGGTCTACAGAATGAGATCCAGGACAGGCACCAAAACTACATAGAACAACCCTGTCTCGAAACTCCCCTCCCCCACCAAAAAAAGAGATACTCAGAGAATGTACCTTCTGCTAGGGGAGTCAAATAATAATAAAATATGTAATACAATGAGAAGTGAAATTAAGAAAAATATAATAGGCCAGTGGGATGGCTCAAAAGGTAAAGGTATTTGCTGCCAAGCCTGATGATCTGAGTTCAACCCCTTGGACCCAAGGTAGTGGGAGGAGAGAACTGGCTCCTGGAAATTGTCTTCTAGCTCCACTTGCACACTGGGGTAGTTTGAATGTAGGTGGCCCCCATAATCTCATGGGAGTGGCATTATTAGGAGGTGTGGCTTTGTTGGAGGAAGCTGTCACTGTGGGGGCGGGCTTTGAGGTTTCTTATGCTCAGGATACCATCCAGTGTGTCAGTTGACTTCCTGCTGCCTGCAAGATGTAGGACTCTCAGCTACTCCTCCAGCACCATGTCTGCCTGCACGCCACCATGGTGATAATAGACTGAACCTTTGAAACTGTAAGTGAGCCACCTCAATTAAGTGTTCTCCATATAAGAATTGCTGTGATCATGGCATCTTTTTACAGCAATAGAAAACCCTAACACACACACACACACACACACACACACACACACACACACACACACACACCCATTGACTAAATAAAGAAATGTGATTTTAAAAATTAAAAAAAAAAAGAAACAGAGTAGGCAAGAGTGGTGAACATACCCTCTTAGGCTAGGTCAGTCAGAGGAGGCTGGTCTGAGAATAGCACACACAGGAAACCAGCAGGGGTGAGTAGAAACTAACTCACAGAGCACTTGCCAGGGCCCAGGCATACCTTTTGTCAGAAGGGAGATACATTCACCACACAGATACTCCAAGAAAGTTTCTTGGATAGCACATTTAATTCAGTAAATATAGAGTTTTCTTGTTTAGACAAAAGGGGGGAGATGTAGTGGGTAGCTGTTTCAGCTTTGACCTTGAAACACTGCCCCTAGAGTGACAGCAGGTAACTGCCACACCTGCCTATGCCCTGCCCCTATGGCATGGCTGAGAGGGAGCCCCTTAAGACTCGATGCCTACATGTTTGGCCCTTCTGGATACCTCATGATCCTGGAAGCTGGATGGGACACCAAGCCAGAGTTCTCCGCTGGATGGTACCTCATCTCTCCCAGATCCTGTAACCAACCCCTATTGGCTGTCAGTTATCCCAGAAATAAACCTCTCTTGATTACCAGGTAAATTACGTGGAATTGCCTTGTTAATTACAGTAATAGTCCTATTGCTCTAAAGAGACACCATGATCAAGGCAACTCTTATAAAAGAAAGCATTTAATTGGGACTTGCTTATAGTTTCAGAGGTTTAGCCCCTTGTCATCATGGCGGGAGCATGGTGGCATGCAGGCACATGCTGGAGCAGTGGCTGAGAGTTCTACATCCTGATATGTAATCCACAGGAAGAGAGGGGACTGGGTCTGGCATGGACTTTTGAAACCCCAAAGCCCACCCCCAGTGACACACAAGGCCTCCAACAAGGCCACACCTCCTAATACTTCTCAAATAGTGCCACTCCTTGATGACTAAGTGCTCAGATATGTGAGCCTATGGGGACCATTCTTACTCAAACCACCACAAATGGTGTCAAGAAAAAAAATAAATAAATGTAACAATGGGTAGGTGGGGGAGAGGAGGTGCAGACAAACAAAAGCAAATGACTTTGGGACACTCACTGGTCTTTTCATTCACTTCCACCTGTAGATGGCCTGAGGCACGCATGATGAACCTGCTGCATCCTACCTGTGACTCAGGACAGGCTTTACAAACTGCCTTCAACTCTGATGGCCACTGTCCGGCCAGTGGGAGGGGACACTTTTCAGAGCCACGTTCAAGAGAACCTCATGAGTGTGTGGTATGCTTTAGGGTCCAGGGAAATATCTAGAGGGGAAAAAAAAGAAAAGAAACTCCCTTTACACATTGGGAGAAAGAGCACCATCTTCTATTAACCTTTCTACAAAACTGATTCACTGATTTGGACTTCAAAAAAATTACAGTGTTGTTGGTTATTTTTACTCTTTACTCTTTTGGCTCTTTTGGGGGGTCTGCCACCCAAATAAATACACACAGAGGCTTATTCTTACTTATAAATGCCCAGCCTTAGCTTGGCTTATTTCTAGCCAGTTTTTCTTAACTTAAATGATCCCATCTACTTTTTGCCTCTGGGCTTTTATCTTTATTCTCTGTATCTTTCTTTACTTCTTACTCCATGGCTGGCTGTGTAGCAGGTGGCTGGCCCCTGGAGTCCTCCTCCTCCAGCTCCTAGATCCCCCTCCTAGATTTCTCCTTCTCTTCATTCTCTCCCTGTCAGCCCCACCTATCCTTTCTCCTGCCTCACTATTGGCCGTTCAGTTCTTTATTAGACCATCAAGGTGTTTTAGACAGGCACAGTAACACAGCCTCACAGAGTTAAACAAATGCAACATAAAAGAATGCAACACGTCTTTGCATCATCAAAACAAATGTCCCACAGCAGAAACAAATGTAACACATCTTAAAGTACTATTCTACACCATTATAGAGAGTTGGAACATTATAAGTCCACAGCCAAATTATCTCGGGCCATTTTCAGTCCTTTAATAGCCATTGATTACTCTCCTCTTTACGTGACCTAACAACATCTTGTGACCATTGGTACAGATACCTCACTCCCACCAACTAAGAGCCTAAGAAGGCCCACAGACAGCATCTGAGGCCTATACTAAAGACATCCCCTCTCTACCCTTCTCTCTACTTACCTAACAGTTCTACCACTCCATTTTAAAAGGACCTTTATGTATGACTTCCTTTGTTCTTTGTCAAACTCTTCCCATGTTCAAATATGGAGTTTGGGATAACCTAAATCTGTGTTCCCAGGCCGTGGTCACTTATATTTGGCTCCAAAGTAAGTGGTCTCTTGTCCTCTTTAAGGTGAGAGTTGTGTTTTTGCATTGACGCTGGGGATTTTAACAAGGGAGCCAAGACAGCCTGGCTGTAACTCAAGTTCATTCAGTAACCGTGTCTCGAGGGACTGCAGAGGAGCAGGTACGGTGCAGGTGCTGAAAGCCTTATTCCTTCTTTTCTCATGCTTCCCCCACGACCCAACCACCGCCTTAGGAACTAGGAGGAAGGCTGGGAGAAGGGCGAGCCTGCAGAGCAGTAGTGGATGTGGGTTTTCATACACCCCTCCCTTTACCCTTCCTTCTGCCAGAAAGCATAGACGGCAGCCACCTCAATTTTTCTAGCCCACAGTGTGTAAAACAACATCAGAACTGGTGTTCTTTGTAAGTGAGTCTTTCTAAGATGCTACATACGAGAAAGAGGCTTCGTAAGTACCAGTTTTAAATGCTAAGCCCCCTCTCATGATACATACCATCTTTGTTCTCCATCAAATGCATTCAAGTGAGAGAAGGAAGAGGTGCTGGTTCCCTGGCAGAGCCCCGGGGCTGATGAAAGTGTTGACTCACTGGGTCAGAGGAACTGGTCCCCAGGGACGCCATCTAAAAGCACACAGACAGCCCGGTGCCCAAAGTCCCCTTCAGCCTTTGAAATGGGTAAAGGGAGTCTGTGATCAGCAGAGTGAATGTTACAGAGAGGTCAGAGGCACCAGATTAGTCAGACAACCCAAGTCATCCGTGAAGAATACATTGTTTTCTTTCCTGAGGAACAAAATATACCAGGGCTACCGCCAGGATGAGTTTATCCAGGCTCCAGCAGAAATGGCAGGAAATGCATGTATGTGGAGCTGTACAAGGGTATAGGAGACACTAGTTTATATGACCCATAAACGTTAATTTAATCTCATGTGTCTATGAAGGAAGTGATTGGAATTAGTATTTTACAGCCAAACAAACAAACAAAAACCACAACTGTTGAAACACTGTAAGTAGATAAGCGGAAGAAAAAAAAGTCCCTAATATTTTCCTTCCTTGTTCTATCCATCAGAAAAAGTAGTTTTTATCTTGAAGATGGTTATCCAGTTGCTTTAAAGCCTGGGGAAAGATCTGAAAAATGGCAAAGAGCCTAATCTCCGGGTTCTCTTGGGAAAAGAAAAGTGGAGATAAGGGCCTCTTCTGTCAATGGAGTAGCAAGATGAACTTTCAGCCAGGAATCCAGCCAATTCATTACTTCTTTCCCGTTGTAAAGAAATACTATAAACGGACACACTAAGCTCCAAAGAAACTAGTTAGGGGGGGAAGGGGAAAAAAATCAAAAGCTGAGTAAGATCAGATTTGCTGGGTTTCTATCCAAATCCATCCAGCTACCTGTGTGGCTGGGCTGGCAGCGGGTATCAGCTAGGCTGTCCCCAGGAGCTGGCAGGTTGAGTCTGTCACTTTCCCAATATTGTGGACACCAAAGCAACCTTGTGTCCAAAGGGGACCCTTCCAGAGAACCATCTCTACTCTTCCCTTCAGGGGCAAGCCTTCTGAAAAAATAGGATCTGGCTGTTCTTGTCCCTGACCCCACCCACCCCAAACCCCATCCCACCCACCTCATCCCACCCACCCCGACCCCCATCCCACCCACCTCATCCCACCCACCCCGACCCCCATCCCACCCACCCCGACCCCCATCCCACCCACCTCATCCCACCCACTCTGACCCCCATCCCACCCACCTCATCCCACCCACCCCAATCCCCATCCCACCCACCTCATCCCACCCACCCCAACCACCATCCCACCCACCTCATCCCACCCACCCCAAACCCCATCCTTGGCCCCATTCACTTTCTTTTCCCACTGACTACACAAAAGACTGCATTTCATTGTCTGTAACTAACCTGACTGTGCTTTCTGCACCAAGAACATGATTTCATAGAGAAGATTACAATCATTTGTGGCATCCACAGAAACGTTTGAAGAGAAGGTCAGTTAGAGTCAGTCTTGTTTCCCTCTCAAGTAAGCACAAATGGAAAGGTTACAAAAGAGAGGAAGTATCTTCCCAGCTTGCTCTCATCCTGCTTCTGTTTCTCTCCCAGCCCCAGCCTGGAGCATCGAAGTGAGAGGGGGCTTGAGGGGTGCCATCCTCTCCTCTCATGGGGAGACCCTCCAGATGCAGAGTGAGAGTCAAGGCCCAGGCTGGTTCCCAGGGTCTGGTTGGTACCAGCCACTCACCCCTCCTCTTCCTCTGTGTCAATCAGCTCCTTCTCTGCCAAGCCAGCTGTCTGCACCTGGACATCGCTGTCATCCCGTTCCCTCACTCTGCCTGGCCATGGGCCAGCTTGGCAGGGTCTCTGCTGGGGTCTGTGCACTACTGCAGGCAGCCAGCTGGAGTTGGGTGGGGGTGGGGAGAACAGTTGGGCAGCTTTTCAAGCCCACAACTGGCTGACCATGCTCTGGCCTCACCTAGCTCTTCACCCAGTGTAAACAAGTCTCCTGGCTCCAGAGAGCTTCGGAGTATGTGCCCCAACCGAGCAAACCAATGGCAATGGATTTTTATTCGTGAACAAAAGTAGACTGGAGACAATTGACAGGCATATCTGTGAACCAAAGTTGAAATTGTCACCACTTCTAAATGTGGTTTTGACACAATTTTAAACAGTCAACAAAAATTGTAGACATTTTTTTTTCCCCAATAGTCTGCAAATTGCCTAAGATTTTAAGTCTTCATGGAGCCATCCTCCCAGATACCAGAACTATACAGAAGTTCATGTTTTAGCAAGTCAACATGGTCTTCCATGAATGCTCTTTGGGTCATAACCAACAGAGAACAGATCTGCTAGCTTACGCAAGAAGAGGGGCCATCACTGGGAGATGCTTGAAGTCAGCATGCTGGACAGGAAGAGAGCAAGGCGGCAGTGCTGAGGCTGGAGAAGTTCTCTTTTTAAATACACTCCCATTGCCCCAGATTTTCACTTGCTGCCTTTTATGGCTTGAATCTGAAATGTCCCCCACACGCTATTATTATTATCATTGGTGGGTTTTTTGTTGTTGTTGTTGTTTTTCTTTTTTTGGTTTGTTTGTTTGTATGTTTGTCTTTTGAGACACGGGTTCACTGTGTAGCCCTGGCTGTCCTGGAATTCACTCTGTAGGTGACCAGGCTGGCCTCGAACTCACAGAGATCTGACAGGCTCATGTTAAACACTTGGTTGTAGGAAGCCATGGTTGTGTTGCTGAAATGAGCCATGTCAAGGATCCCAGTGCCTCCGACCCCTGGGAATAGTGAGGCCCCCCTGAGACAGGCTAAGAGGACTGGGAAAGCCTTCTTCTAGTCCAAGTACAGATGTTAAGAATGATTGACCTTTATCTAAAACCAGTGTATGCAAAAAAACTATCAACCACAGCTTCCTCCTTCCAGATGACTGCAACCTGAAACTGGTTCTACACAGAGACCTCCCACAGAGATAGATATTCCTTATTCTTCTCAGCTCCCTAGGTATTAAAAAACATGTGCCACCTTCCCCTTAGTTAGACGGAAACAGAACAGCTCCACTCACTCTGAGCTTGCCCCATACTGTGAGATGACCAGAGGAGTATGGACAACGCCTTGCTAATACTAGGTGGGTATATTGCTTAACTAATTAGAGAGACAAAAAAAAAACAATCACCTCATGTTCCCAATTCATACTCACATTGCTTGGTAGTCAGGCAGCATCTTGGGTAACTTACATTTAGTGCTATACTTTGAACTTCGTGCTCTATTTTATGATCCAATTTGCTATTCACCCCATAGACACTGAGAAAGTATGTACATACTATGTATGTACATGAATAGCTTTTCTATTCATTCTGGATATATATCTATCCATCTCTATCTCTATGCCTTTAGAGTACTGGGATTAAAGGTATGCATCTCCACACCCAGCTCTAAGCTTTGCTTTAATTCCTTTTCACAAGTTGGAGACAGCTGGGTGGGATCTTGCCCTGAGGTCACCACTCCCTTTATTCCATTTCTTAATCTGTTTATCTCCTTAGCTCCTTTCCACTTCCTGGGGCTCCTTTTCTCCTCACATAGTTTTCCTTGTTCAGCTTGCTCTTTTTTCATTATATACCTTCATTAGAGTGAATACTAGTAACCACACAACAGAGTCTATACTAGGCTGTTTTGAGATTTCCTCTGCCAATGGAATTAATCCAAAACTCTTCACTTTAGCCTTATGCAGACTCTTCAGATAAGGCAAACAGCAGCCACATTCTTCACCAAAATAATCATATGACTGGTCTCTAAGTTGGTACCAGGGACTGGGGTAGTGCTGTGATAGGCCAGATCATGTTTTTGTTGAGAGTAATATGGACTTGGGGACTGCAAATTAGGAAAGCAGTTGAACACTTTAATTGCTGCTTCATGGGCTTACTAGTAGGAGCATGGACGACAGGGTGCTGCTGTGACTTGAACTGTGGGTGCCTGGAGCAAGAGGTTTCAGAGGGGAATGTTAGCATGTGGCCTAGAGACTGGTCCTGTTTGGTTAGCAGTGCATCCCTACAATGGGCTCTAAGCTTTTCTTTAGTTTCTTTTTCACAAGTTGGAAACTTAGCTGGGTGAGATTTGGTCCTGAGGTCCTCACTCCCTTTATTCCATATTGTAAAATAAATGAATACATTTAAATAATAATAATAATAATAATAATAATAATAATAATAATAATAATAATGAAGCAGGCACCAGCATTGCCTTCATAGGAATAGAGTCACTTGAGAATAACTTGACAGGAACTGGACCTGTAGAAAGATTGAATTTGACAGTTTTTATCTAAAGCTCCAATGTAGTCACTCTGCAATCACATGTCTAGAAATTTATCCTGTCCTTCAATAAATGGCATTCAGCATTTAAAAAAGAAAAAAGAAAAGAAAAAAATGATGACAGATGTACCATGTATAAACATATATATATAGATACATCTCATTAAAAGCTAAGATGTCAAATCTAAATAAATACTTAAAGTGAAAAAACAACAAAAAATAAATAAATAAAAATTAAGCAAATCTTTTCCAAAAAAAAAAAAAAGAAAAGAAAGAAAGAAACTGAGACAAGCTGGGCGGTGGTGGCACACGCCTTTAATCCCAGCACTTGGGAGGCAGAACCAGGAGGATCTCTATGAGTTCGAGGCCAGCCTGGTCTACAGAGTGAGATCCAGGACAGGCACCAAAACTACACAGAGAAACTCTGTCTTGAAAAAAAAGAAAAGACAAAAGAAAGAAACTGAGACATGCCTACTTCTGGCAGAAGAACTTGTGGCCCTTTCATGAACATATGACTGATGTCTATTAACTTGTCAAGATCAATGCTAGCTTCTTCAACCCCTGATGACAAGCCACACCCCAGCTCACAGCTCCCTTTCTCCCATTTAATCCTGTGTACAACTATAGAGTATAAAAGGTGTATTCTTTTTTCAATAAACACACTGGCAGCCATCCTGGAAAAAAAAAAAAACAAACAAAGAAAGAAATTTATCCTGAAGAAATGAACCTTAAATGTGCACAAAGTTTAAACTATTTTTAATGCTGAAAAGTTTAGAGGGACTCTGTGTCCCGTGATGGGACACTCTGAAACTATTGATACACATTCAAAATTCCATTTCCTGACATGAGATTTAGTATTGCATGTGTGAACATCATTTGCTGAGACTGAGTTCTGATCCACAGGATGCAAGAGTGGAAGTATTTAAGCCAAGGCTGTTAACAGCTAGGTTTCAATAAAAACCAATTCTGACAAACTTGGAGGGAGAGGAAGAATTTTCTGGAAGGAGTTCAAATAACTCAGAGAAAAGAAGGAAACCTAAACAATCAGGCTTTGGAAAGAGAGAAACCAAGTGGGTGGGGCATCCAGAAACAAGAGCAAACTGTCTCGAGCTGTGTCTCATTAACGCCAGCTCAGTTTGTGTGTCCATCAGTCTCCGTGGGTCCTGCTTCGGGCACACTCCGATCCAGATCTCCAGGAGAGAGTCTGCTTTGGCCAGACTAGGTCACTGTGATTGACAGCTTCAGCAGAGCTACGCGCAGCAAAAGAGCTGCATTGCCCCGAGAAAGAAGTCAGGGGACAGACAAAATCAATAGGTGTCAGCAGTAATGGGTTTTCCGGACAGTAGTCGCCTTGTTTCCTTTATTCGTCTGTGTCTTTAACTGTTTTGAAACGGACTGATGTCACTTTTCTAATAAAGTTTTCTTGTAAGTTCAGAAACCTCAAAAGCAAACAAGCTGCTGAGTATCCAAAATGGGTTACTTCCCAGCCTGATCTTGCGTTTGTTTTTATATACCCATGGCAGGACCTTCCGCAGCAAACCTCGTCCTCGGACCCGGGGCTCCGCTCACACGTCCACTTGTCTATCTGAGCTGTTTTAATGGGGGCATTCATGAACACAACAAAAATAATGAAGACAGAAGGCCCCAAATAAGCGCACAGCACTGGACTTCCAAACTGTGACAGGCAGATTCCCAGACTCGTAGGTAATAATAGAGTGGGTTTTGCACCATAATCCATGACAGTTATTGCAAGCACTTGCTAAAAGCTCACTCTGTGCCAGACTGGCTAAGCACTCTGCTTCCTTCCTGTGACTTCAGTGTGAAATGTGTGATTCCAGCTGCACTTCCCTTATCCAACATAGCACTATTACTGGATTATCTCTTTTCTGGAAAGCAAATTCCTTCTCTTCCCAAATATTCTATATTAAGTCTTCTCTCTACATCCTTAGATGGGACGTTAATTTTTCCTTAGACCCTAGAAGCCACAGAGGTCCGATTTGTTCAAAATCACACAGCTAGCCTTTGTCATCTCCCATTTGCTGACTGAGAGCCAGCCCCTTACCTTGCACAGTGTGTGGTCCTGCTCTGCCAGTGCACACAGGCTGTGCTGAGATCTGGCCTCTGTCCTCATCATGCAGGGGCCCTGAGGGCCATGGCAGGGGTGTGGTCATAGTTCATAGGTAAACACAGAGAAGACATTGAGCTTAATATGTAGGGATGAAAGTATGTTTGAGAAACTGTAGTGGACATGAAAATACTGAAATAAGACAAAATACATTAAACAAGAATACTCTGGACAAACTTAGGGGAAAAAACACTTCTTATCTGATGCTTGAAACCACAACTGTAGGATTCCAGATTTGGTAAAATTTATTTATACCTAATG